TTAAAAAAAATTAAATCTTAAATAAAAGTTCCCGTGCGCAAATCCCTTCATCTGCTTCCTCCTCAGACGACCCTGACCCACAGACCCCTCCCTGACCCACAGACCCCTCCCCGACAAGAACAGCAGGACAGCAAAAGTCACGCTTTGGATACACGCGCAGGGCGCATCCACCTCGCCAGTGTGGATGTTATAAACCTTCACGTTTAAAGTCCGTGTTTGTCACGCGGGGTGGGGTGGGGGGGGTGCGTATGTGTGTGTGTTTGCGAGGGGCGGGGGTGTCTGCCGCAGATAACAGAGCAGGCAGGAGGGGGAGAGGACGAGGAGAAGAGCAGTGAACTTATTTCTAATTTTATCTGACTTATTTAATTTAAATTTTATTGTTTTTATCGTCCTGCAGGCTCTGAGGGAAAATTAATTTGAAGCTGAGTATTTTTTTTTATAAAAATCGTTAGATTACTCTAAAGCAAAATGAGGGAAAATCTGTGTCAATTACAGACAATAATCTGTTCAGGTGAGCAGCTGTCAGTCAGCACCTGTCATCCTCCAGACACACATTTTTATTTGCTTGCTTGTTTACTTTGTCCCTCTTTCCTCCTCCTCAGCATAGGGAGRAGTAAACTCTGGCGTCAGGTATTTATCAGGTGCATGGTCTCTAACTTCTGTAGCATGAGAGCCACGTGAACAGGTTTTTAGCTAGAGGAGCGWTTTTGGTTTAATGTTTTCTTTCAGCTGGCAATGCCTCAGGAYGCCGTGCCAACACGAAATTTACTGATATTACATAAGCAAATAATTTATATACAAATACACACAAACACACGTGTCTTTTTTCGATMCCATAAAAGTGCTGACACGGCTCTACTTCAGTTATTTCTGGCTGTGCAGCGTCACTATTACTATCATRATCAAACAGATACCACTCGACCAAATATTTCCCCTCCAGAAACAGAAACGCAAAGATAAAAAGTGGGCAATCAATRTCGAACRTTAATATTAGCCCAGTTTTACTTATCGGGCCGATACGATATTAATGCCGATATATMGTCATTAACATCCCTAATTAAAAAGATCAAATGCTGGATAGTTTTTACAGTATTCAACTAAATGAGAAGTCTGATTTGGTATTTGGCGGCACGACGGTTCAGTGGTCAGCACTGATGCCTCACATCAAGAAGGTCCTGGGTTCAATCCCTGGTTCGGACCTGGGGYCTTTCTGTGCAGAGTTTGCAYGTTCTCCTCGTGCTTGCGTGGGTTTTCTCCGGGTACTCCAGTTTCCCCCACAACACAAAAACATGCACAATAGTTTGCCTTCGGGCCCAGGTCGCCCTTGAAAAAGAGATCTGAGATCTCAAAGGGACTTGTCCGGTTAACTAACGGTAAATAATGGTTGGTTTTGATCAAACATCTGGTTTTTCCAAGTACAGACGATCATCAAAAACACGCCAGAGGTCTTGGTGTCATTTTGGACTTCAGATATCTATTAGCATTCGGTGTCATGCTGTTAGCTCCCTTTCGTTTTGTTCTTCACAACACTCACTTTTTACTGAAGCAATCAATAAACACATGCCTCATCTCGTGGCAGAAAACAAGCGTAGCTTGTTGCAAAGTGTAAAATGTACTTATCTCTAAGCTGTGGCTTTTGCCTTTCCAGTTTGCCTGGCAGTATTACTGCTTTTGATCCCACAGTCGAGGGGGGAAAAAAAAAGCTAAACTGTTGTGACTCAGTCCATGCACACAAAGCCAAAGGTAGGATTGATGTGTGCTCTGTAAGTCCTCGGGGATCGTTTGAGCGCACGGCACCGAGGGATTTGTCAGTCTAAYGGGAGATGACAGACGGAGAATGAACTTTAACACTCGGGCTGCTTTCACTTTCATGAGCTTCCGGAGAAACCCCCCTGCAGTGAATCAAATCCTGCTGCTGAAGAACCGAAGTGCACGGCTGAAAATGCATAGGAACGGTCGCTAATGCAAAGGTGCAGGGGACGGACACACGTGTCCATCTCGTTCACCGTTTCTTTCATCCGCTCGCCCCCCTGCACACTCCCACGAAATCTGTCAAGCGGCCTAATGTCTGAGAGGAAAAAGAACATCTGCATACATAACGTACATCAGAGAGACTAACCTCCACACATGCTTCCTGCTCCGACCTGAGAGGTGAGGTCGGAGCCGAGGGCTCGTTATTTCACTGATTTCACGCCGTGTTGCTTTCAATCAAAAGCTACAATGAAAGGTCTCATAAATCGAATGTTATTGGTACTCCAAGTCTGCCAAAGAGATGAACGGGCTCCTTTTTTTAGGCTAAGTCAGGATCCGTAACGAGTTCTTTGTTCTGATGAGTCTCCGTGAGGTTCGGTGAAGAGGTTTGTTTCAGGAACTGTGGAGCCTAAAGTGACATTATGGTCTCATTTGGATCTGATGAAACGTTTATTAGGCTCTGCCCGAGAGGGTTAGTCTCTTAATTATCTTCAGATTTAACTGAGAATGCCTGAGGAAGGAGCTAATTATCCCATGATCGGAGCAGATTAGGGAAGTTTTTGGCTCCTTTACTGATAAAAGATGGAGAAAACAACAGCAGCMTGGTTATGAGGATATTTCTTTATGAAAAGCTTGTTAAAAAAGAAAAGAGTCTGGATTCGGTTTGTAATTTTAAATCCAAAAGCCAAGATTCCATCTTCCCACAATAAAATACAAGCGTTTCTCTAAATGGACTGTAAATGAAAGAAAACATTCCAAGGAAACAAGCAATCATTCACGTAACAATAAAAATAACAGAGCGCAAAGCAGCAAATGGACTCAGGCTGTGGGAATCAATTCCTGACAACCACAACAAAACGATTAAGACGTCGCTGCTGCCAATTTGGTGCAAAATCTTCATCTGAGATGGTGGAGGAGGATAATAAACGTCAGATTCCTCATTTTGCCCTCGCTCAGAAACCGTTGCTCTCCAGCTGTAGTAAACAACACGAGTAAACAAARGTTACTGAGCCGCTCTGCCGGCTGAGGCCCCACAGCTGAGCTCACACACCTCCCTGCAGACCACAGAGCTCTCTCTGCTTTTAAACAGACTCTTGTGGGAGAGTTTTCCACAGACGGCCCGACCGACAACATGCTCAGGATGACTCGCTGCAGAGTCTGGGAGCTCGGGCGACGACACGCCGCCGACACACAAACACAGAATTAGTGAGACTAAACTGGAGGTTTTTTTCTCCATTTTTAAACAAGTGTGCATGAATGTACTTCAGTAGACGATGTATCGGTAAGAAACCAAGAACGTGCAACGCCTGCGATTAACAGTTAGACGAGCATTTCTCACTTTTCCTACAGTAAAATTCAAGCACTTTTCAAGCATTTTCAAGATAAATTGTCAAACTTTTCCAGCATCAATCTTCAGAGCTCTGTTGAGCTTTAAAACCACTATCAATAATCTGAAACGCTGTGCAACGGAAAATAATTTTGCAAGTTATAATATTATTGGACGAAGAGAATGCATGACAAAACATTGARCCACAGCTACGTTTTGTTTAGTCGAGCCATTAGTTAACCACCTTTACTAACGTTAAATAAAAATGTTTTGTTGTTGAACATTGTAAAGTATGACGGAGTATTTGGGCCACACAACAAGATCTTTTTTAAAAGTATAAAAATAAAATCATAATATTACAACATTAAAGACGTATGAAAATAAAGTCATAATATGAGAATAAAGTCGTAACATTACAAGATTAAAGTCATAACATTATGAGAATAAAGTCATAATATTATGACATTAAAGTCATAATACAGTATTACGACATTAGTCATAATATTATGAGAATAAAGTAATATTATGAGATTAAAGTCATTATGAGAATAAAGTCACAATATTACAAGATTAAAGTCATAA